TAACAGATGGCCTGGCCAAGGCAGGCTTTGACTTAACTCATTGTCATTCTGTTGTTGATTTTTCTATTGTTAAGAGATTTAGTAAGTCTAGTATTGATGCAAATTGGCAAAACTTCTTTGCCGATAAAGCTGGAGAGATGTCTTGGGTTTCTTAGTGACCATTCTTATTTCCATAATTTGCCTAGAGTTGTGTGCATGATAGATAAATTTTTATCACAGAATTGGTTATGATTATTTGCAGAAACATCTCCATCATGAGTTTGGCAGATTCACCAATTTGCTCATTATGTGGTCTGACTGACATGACTAGCAACCATCTCTATATTTGTCCTGATTTAAATGGCACTGCAGAGAGTAATTCTGCAGAACTTGTAAATTTTCAGTTATGTCAGTACTTTAGAGGGGGGAAAAGTGTTTCCTACATTAGATCTAGCATCTGGCTATTGGCATATAAAATGAAATGAAAAAGATAGAATTTGCAAAAAAATTTGATTTTTGTGAATTCGACAGATTACCTTTTGGTGGAAAAATTCCCCAGGCTATTTTTCAAAGAGCTCTTAGACAAATTAAAAAAAATATCAAATTCAGTTTGCTCTAAATTATTTTGAAAACATCATAGTATTTTCTTGGAATTTTGAAGAACATTTAAAGCATCTTAAAGTGACATATATGAAAAAGAAAATTAAAATATTCAAAATAGCACTTTGCTCAAAAAAAAAAAAAAAAAAAAAATTCCCTAAGATATGAAGTTCAAGCTAAAAAATATCAACTCAGCAATGCAAATATTGAAGTTATTAAAAAATCACAACCCCCTGAAAGAATTACAAAGATTTCTAGGAAGTATTAATGTGTATCATAAATTTATTCCTAATTAAGGCAAGAATTAGAGACCCTCTTACAAGTTTAATTAAAAAAGATACTCCATATAAATAGACAACTAAATGTCAAACAGCCTTTGAAAATTTAAAAGATGCTTTAATTTTTAGACCCATTTAAACTCTATTTAATCCAACATATCTCTGCCATGTATTTGTAGACCTATCTAAAGAAGATGTTGGTGCAGTTTTAAAACAAGAGTAACAAATGGTAATTTACAACCTATAACTTTCCATTCTAAAAAAATTAAGATAAAAATTATGCAGTTATTGTGTTGCAATATACAGCCTTTGTAGAGGCTATAGGTAATCTTTATTGCTGTATGCCTTGAAATGATTTTATTGTATATATTGATCATGCTGCTTTAATTTGGCTTATGAATATAAAACGTCCTACAAGTAGATTATTTTGATGGTCTTTAAAATTAGCTGTGTATGATTTTGATATAAAATACCTGGTAAGTCAAAATGGATGCTCCAATTTCATAGGTGCACTACACAAAATGTAATAAATGCATTCATTAAAAATGTATATACATGCAGTGGTAATATACGCGAGTTTTGAATGTACTTCTCACAAATGTTTGATATGCATTTCTTTTGTTATACGGCATACATCAAGTCTGAAAAGTAATTCTTGCCAAACATTGTGCAGCATGTCTGTATTGATGCTAGGGATAGCAGTTGTGATATGGGTTTTCAAATCGGTCATTGTCATTAGAGCTGTAGACACATACATGCGAACTTTTACCAACCCCCATGGGGAAAAAAATCGCTTGGAGTGACAAACGGGGATCATGATGGCCAAGGTAAGACTACAGTAGATATGCTACCAATCCACCGTTGTGGTAGCATTTAATTGAGGTGGCTCCGCATTTCAGTCATAAAATGGGGTGGTGCACCATCTTGCTGCAGAATAAAGCTAGGCATATCATCGTGTAGCTGTGGCAGAAACCATAATTTGAGTATATCAAGGTACATTCCTCCCATCATGGTAATTTCAGAAAAAAAGAATGGACCATAGATAGTTTCATAGGATATTACACAAAATACATTAACCTTAGGGGAATCATGTTGGTGTTGCACTGGATGTTTGGTATCCCAAATTCTCACGTTATGCTTATTTTCTAATCCCAAAATTTGAAAAGTTGTTTCATCACTGAATACTAAACTATACTGTTTCGAAAACTCTTCATTCTCCATGCGCATCAGAAGTGTGTCACAGAAAGATAATCGACATGGCAGTTGTTCAGGTTTCAGGTGTTGCACCAACTGCAAATGATACAGTTTCATTTGCCTCCCAAGAACTCTGCACACAATTTTGTGGGCTACTCCTGGTTTTCATCCAGTTTCGTATTGTCAATTCTTGACAGCTTCTAACATAGCTGGCTTCAATATGATCAACTATATCTTCTCCTGCTGAAGGACGACCTACCGAATTTCCTTCACAAATGCAGCCTTTATCTTGAAATTTTGCATACCACTGATGGATTTCCTTATGATCTGGCACTGTCAGTTCTTTATTTGTTCAGAACTGATGCTGAACAATGACAATAGACTTGCTAACATGAAACTCAAGCACACAAAATGCTTTTTCCTGTTGCGTAACCATTTTACATAGGCTTTGTTTTTCTGCCAGTTTCGTTACCTTAGAAAGGCTGATGACGATTGGACTTCCAGCGCCATCTGTTGGCAACTATTCAAAACTTGCTTTTATTATCTTTACATGTATATACATTTTTAATTAATACATTTTGCATAGTACACTTATCAAATTGGGGCATTCATTTTGACATACCCTGTATAAGAAAGTTTCTACTAATACTGAAGTTTATATGTTAAGTAGGAATCCTATTTCTCAACATTTGTGTATACTACATTTTGTTACCTTTTACGTTTATTAATATTGAAAATCCATTTTACATTGGTTTACAATAAAAAATGTGGATTGTCTTATAAAAATGAATAATTAACTTTCATAGAATTTCATGAATATGTAAAACATAATTTAGGTTTTTATATTACCAACATCAGTTTTTTCAAAAGATCTTTAAGACAAGGACTGTAAAATATACATTATGATATTCAAGTGAAGATTAGAACTCCATATTGAGGACAATTTTTTATAGTATTTGTAGAAAACATTTGAAGAACTTTAAAAACTTTTATTTTTAGAGAAAATGAAGTTACTAACTTTTAAAATTGGACTGTACATTTATTTGTAGAGAAAATAAAGTTACAAAATTTAAAATTGGATTGGCAATAGAAAAGCATTTAGTTCAGATGTTATATAATATTTTTTTTTGTAATATTTCCAAATTCAAGTTTTATGTGTCGCTTTGTATGTTAAGATCTGAGAAAGTTCATGAACTTTCTCAGATCTTAACATACAAAGCGTATCTTATCTCAGATCTTAACATACCTTGAAGAAAATTTTTTTTTTTTTTTTTTTGTTATTGAAAAAGTACGTATTGTATAAACTTTGTCTTCACTTGCTAATGCTCTAATCCTTTTTTCTAAAAATGCTTTTCTATTTATTGCCAAGCCTTTTCTGTTTGAAAGGTGGTATATAACAGATATAATAATATTAAAGTGAACTGTAATTTAGCAATAGCCCTTTTTATTCCTCATTTTAATTAGGCTATGTCCCCTTCCTGTCTTAAAACTTTGAATCTAAACACATCATCCAAAAGTTAAAAATTCTAATTCATTTTGCTTTGTGGTTAGCTCTTGTCCAAACTCTTTGCTGAAATGCACATATTTTTCCCTGCCTTCCTCTCACTGTGCAAACATGTTCGTTTTCTCTGCTTCATCCGTTATATAGCGATGTGATTTCTTATATCAAATTGAAGGGTGCTTATTGCACCTTAAATGATATTTGAATATATTTATGCTTATCAAGAATATTCAGGAATAAGTTAGTGTCTTGTTTTGGTCACATTTGTGTCTGTTATGTCATCTTATGTGTCTATGCTATCTCCTAATCCTGAAGTCATCTATAGAAATTATTATATATATATATATGTGTGTGTGTCTCTCTCTATATATATATACAGTTTCTGGATTAGGGTTTTTTCCGGATTATAGATCATCAATTTAAATCTGGTAAGATAGCATGCAGAAATTCAGAAATTATACAATTAAAAATATGAAACTGTAATTTATTAAATAAAGAGCAATTATGATCTAAAGGGTATCAAAATTTACAAAAAAAAAGCTTAATATTTATCTGTTTACTTTATTAAACATTTCTTTCAATGTAAACTTACATAATTTTTTGTGCTAATACTTTCTCATTAATTCTTTCTTCTATAACCAAACATAATTTCTTATTCAATTAAAACGGTCCACTGTTCAAATCCTGTAATTGCTGTGTCGAGCATACCGACTAACTTGTCATTTGAAATTTTTTCGTTTTCAATTTCGTTTCGTTCTGTCACTTTCTTCGCTATCGGAAGCACGCATGTGTAAATGCTTTACTGGGTTTATGTGCATGCGTAGCAGACATGCACATTAAACGTGCATGCGTAAACGCATTACGCACACGCGTAAGTTTGTGGCTTTGAGGTCTGGATTACAGATCATTCTGGATATTGGACGTCCAGATTACGGACTTTGTACTGTATATTATAATTTTTGAATGTGTTTAATTTATAGGGATTCAGGCAGTAAGTTTTGAAAGCTTCTCTTGGAAATGCTAATTCCTCAATAATGTATGACTAATGGGAGGTAATTTTTCTTTGGCTAATACTATTATATAATTGGCTGATGGCAATTTTCTTTAGTTTTCTTTAATTACTTTGAGTATGATAATTTTTATTTCATCATTTGTCCGTGTTTACTGTGAGAAGCTGAGAAGTAAGTTTTCAGTGGCATATTTTGAATTAAGTAATATGAAAAACTGTGGAATAAATTGTGTCTAAATTATTTACAAAATTTAAGTGTTATTTAGTTTTTTATAACATAAAACATACACCTGTATATTTTTAAATGTATATATAGAATGAAAGCTACAAGTTGGATTAAATGCAGTAGAGATCTTTTTCACTCTAAATAAATAATGAGTACATACACTAAAGTAAGTAGTTGTGCATTAAATAAAATGTTAATTTGTTTCTTATATAGGTACTTGAGAGTTAGCCTGTATCTGCTGGTACATCTTCAAAAATGACACTCATGACTCTGATTCTTGCAAGCAGTGGCAACCCAAAAGTTCTCCGTATTCTACAAAATTGGAGATTTATATGAGGGAAACGTTTTCAGCCTGACTCAAAGATGGCACTCCAATGAGCAAAAATTTATGTTTCCTGTGTGGGTGCACGTATCATTAATTCGTTTGACCAGTTTCAACTTGTTCTCTGAAGCAGTTTGTTTACACGAATTTTTGCAGTAAATGTCTTACGTGTTATTCATTAAAATGGATAAACTTGAATATCATGTAGTCATAAAATTCTTCGTTTTTGGATGAATGAAACCCCAACTTTCGAAATTGATAAATGTTTATGAGGACTCTGCTCCTTCCATGCCAACCATTAAAAAGTGGACAGATGAATTTAAACTTGCTAGCACATGCCTCGAAGATGACTTGTGTGAAGGATGGCCAAAAACTTTAACCACACCCTAAACCATTAGAAAAGTGCATATCATGTTGGATGATAGGCGAGTGATATAGCTGAATCTGAGGGGATATTGGAAGAAAGGGTGCGAAACATATTGCTCAAAGAATTAGGGATGCAAAATCTCTGCGCAAGATGGGTGTCGCATTTGCTGAATGCCGATCAAAAGCAAATGCACAAACGATTTTTGCAGCAATCTTTGGACTGATTCAACAGCGATCTGACTGATTTTGTGCAGCTATTTGTCACCATGGATAAGACATGGGTCCATCACATGCCAGAAACGAAACAGCAGTCCAAGCAATAGGTTGAGGCCGGTGGTTCAGCGCCAGAGAAAGCGAAGTCGATCCTATCTACTGGAAAAGTGATGGCCAGTGTGTTTTGGGATGCGAAAGGGATCCTGTTAATTGATTACCTTACAAAAAAAAAAAAAAAAAAAAAAAAAAAAAAAGAGGCAGAACAATTACAGGCGAACATTATTCCAATCTTCTTGACCAGCTGGATGCCAAAATTCGCAAGAAAAGGCCTGACCTGAAGAAGAAAAATAATTTTTCACCAGGACAAAGCACTTGCGCAGAAGGGAGTGCTGGTGATGGGAAAACTGTGGGATATGGGGTACGATTTGCATGGCCATCCTCCCTATTCTCCTGACTTAACACCCTCAGACTTCCATCTGTTCCCAAACTTGAAGAACTTTGTTTCTGGGAAGCACTTTACATCCAATGATATTTTCACAACGTTCCAGACTCTCACTTTGGAGAAGGAATACTTATGTTGGAGAAATGCTGGACTTTGTGTTGAAGTCAAGGGAGATTATATAGAAAAATAAAATCATTTCATTGTCAGTCCAAGAACTTTTCGCCTTACTCTCATATATTTCTTTTCTTTTTTTAATTAATGTCATCTCTCTCTCTTTTGGAGAGGTTTCTTTTCTTTTTTTTTTTAATTTCATTGTCATCTTCGATCCTGAGACTGGCATCCGACATGTATAAGAATCGACAAAATAGAGGAAGAAGTAGCAGTGTGGTACAGCCTATCCTCAGTTGTGTTCTTATTAATCCAAGTTCATCTCTAATTCATGAGCGGTAAAGTTGCTAAACACTGGTAGTTTGACCTGGCTTCAGTTCTAGATTAATGGGCTGGCTATATGGGCATTTTTGTAATTTTTGTAGCATCACACATGGGGAAAACTATGGAACTTTGTCCAGTTTCCCTTAAAAAGTCCTCCATGAAACCCATTTCCAACTCGTATTTGAACACTTTGCTTGTAGTTTTTAACATTGTATTCCGACAAAATTTTGTCTTTTAGGAATTGCTATTTCATAGAATGGTAATTTTTGCATTCTGGATTGTTAGACAAAACATTATGTACCTGAAAAATGTACATGTGTGTGTCAGTTGTTATTGCATGCATACCCAAAAATATGCTAAAAACATGGCAGTTCTAGCATGTTAAAAAACATGAGGTGCAGATAATGAGAAAGTACATTTATAATTAATGATAATCTACTCTGAATATGAAGTAAGGCAGTTTGTTTTGGTTGAGTTATTGTTTTAGATATTTTTTGTTCTATTTTATATATTAGTACATCCACTAAAACAAAAGAAATTTCTAGCATATTTTAAAATTAGATGATGTTGGAATACAGGAAAATTGTGTTCTATTTTTTATGTAGTCTAAATTATACATGATATGTAAGAAATATCAATTCCATATTTTTAAGGATCAGCTAATAAGCATATTTTGTGTGATTTCTATCCATCTTTATAGGTGCAAGCTTTTGGAGGGCAAAATCAGTCAGCAGCAGTAGTAATTCTTTTCGTTCTGAAAATTTGTGTCAAAGTAACTACAGTTTTGTGCCATCAGTTCCGGCAAAGAATTTATGTCCCAGAATGGAATACTTCAGATGTTTAAAATGTTCAAGTAAATTTAAAACAAAAAGGGGATTAAAAGTTCACATTTCAATGTTACACAGAGGAATTTTTGTTTTCCCATAAAATTTTTAAAAGGGTTTGCCCTTTAATTCAGTTACCAAGGCACTGCATTCAAGAATATATATTTTATTACATATTTATGCTTTGTTTTATATTTATACTGTATTTACCAGTGTATTTCTCCTCCTGGCATATCGCATATTCTCCCCCCCCCCAAGTTTTTTTCATATCATTTAGAAACTTCTGATTTGTTGTATCAATATGATAGCTGCCAACTTTCCTCTGTAGATCACTGAATCTACCATTTTTAACTTTTATCCTTAACAAGTGAAAATATTTATTAGCAGTAAAATTATGTCATGCAAATATACTTTGCACAGTTCAGACTTCATTATTGAATTAATGAAACTTAAATTGGCAAATTTCATTCCATAAATTTACTAGGAAAAGGGGTAAATGATGCAGGTAAATACGGTATTTATGATAAACCAAATAATAAATTGATGAAAACTGCCTAATTCTTTGAATATAATAAATTGTTGTGTAATATAAAAAATGTCCAATATAAAAAGTGTAATTCTGATTTAGAAAGTATTTTGCAGAAATGCACTATTTTAAAATAGTTAATGCATTTTATTAATTATATGTAGTTTTATTTTGGAATGTGAATATAGTAATGTATTGTGTTGTTAACAAAAGATATGTTTATAGTCAATTATGATGGTATGGAGGTGAAGAGATATTTATTTTTTATTGAAAGATTAATCTTGCACACCTTAGTGACTGATACTGTCACGTAATGTTGTTGAAACTGCTCCAGTATGCAGCTTCAGAAGTATTTTGAGAAGCATTGGAGCATAATTTATGGATAAAAAATGGATACTTATTTGAAGGCAGAGTTTAATGTTTACAATGAAGTTTTGCTGTAATTTATTTTATTTTAGTAGGAGCTATTAAACAAATCATAAATCATCAGTTTTAATTAATTAATTTATTTTTTGCTTTATGAAAATTTATACAAAAACAATAATATATTCCAGACATGTCTTCTTGCTTTACTTTATGCTTGATTCTTTAGTCATAGTAAATATTTTTTTCGAAAGCTGCTTAAGTGTTGTGGTGGTATCATATTTGTATGCAGTATAATTTCATTCGTTTATTTGCTATTGCCTCTTGATGTCCTGATTTATTCGATGCTTGTATGTGTAAGTCATCTTATTCTTGTGGAGAAATAATTTTCTTATACAATGTTTTCAGATTATGCAATTTTTCGCAAATTTGCTACTTTGACAAACTTCCGCTACTAAAATTTATGTCTGTGCAATTTTGTTTACTTTTTGTTACATTCAAAATTTTAATATATCATAAAATCTCCATATGTAAGTATAATTTATCTATTGAAATTAATTTATGATAAGAAGTAGTAATTTATTTAGATTTAAATAAAAGTTGGCAAGTGACAATACTGTGATTGTCGCCCAAGAGCACGAGTTTTCAGTGCTAGTTGCTGGTGTATTTATGTGCTTGATTGACCACTTTGTTTAATATTTTGGTAATCTGCGAGTAAGGTTTCAATGTTCGATTATAGTTGTTATATTAATTAATGTATGAATTATGAGCAAGGTGAAAAGAATTTAGCACCAGTTTTCGAAATGTGTATCCATGTTGAGAACTGGTTAGAAAGAATGAAAATTGAAGACAAAAGCATACTGAAAGCTGAGTAAATGGGCTAAGAGCATGTAAAAAAGATAAATCATCAACTGAAGAGAATTAGTAGAATGATGTTAACAATCCAAACATGAGAAACACCTAGCAATGGATATTAACAGACTTAAAAAAAAAAAAAAAACTGAGAATTAATTAAAAGAAGTAATGAAAAATTAAAGTATGGTTTTAAGATTTTCATCAAAGCTGATATAAGAATAAAACAACCAAGAACTGAATTTCTGTCTGTAACTTATGACACTCGGAGATTGTGATGACATCATAGGTCGTGTGACCTCACAAACCTATAATGTCATAAAAAGTAACATGATCACTGATGTCACATGCTACTTTTCATAATACTTTGAATCTTCTCTTAGCTCAAAAATTGTTGCAACTTTGTTTAAATATAGATATACAAAATGTGTAATATTCTTAATTCGTAACCAACAAGCCATTGTATTATAAATGCCATAAAAAAGTAAAACTGTTACTAATTTTGTAGATAAGTATTTAATTGTAATGCCAGTGATTCCAGATATTAAGAGAAAATTCAGAATCATTGTTAAAGTATGTCTAGTCTTGTTTTTTTTAATTGTATCTTCTTTGTTTAAGTTAAAGGATATAATAATTTGTATAATTTCATCATGCACATTAGAGAAAATGATTATTTCAAATATTGTCATCTCCTGATTAAGTGTTCTTTGTCCACACATACAAAAAGGGGGTGGTGGTTTGTTTCACAGCATGATGGAAAAATTAGCAAGCCGTCAGAATAAACCAAAATTTCTATAGAAAATACAAAAAGTAGAAAAAAATTCCTGAAACAATGAGTCATTAAATCTTTCCAGATTTTTAATTTTAACAAATATTTAGAATTAAATGATTAGTATTTGGGTATTTACTGTAAAATGTATTAGTGACCAGGATATCTGAGAACATAAAGAAACATAAATATTGAATATCACCTCCCTAAGTCAATCACTTCCACATAGACCAAAACAATATGGAACAAAATTGGTATAACATGGAGTAAGGTGCAAAGATTCATAGAACATTATCATCCTGATAAAGCAATAGTAAGCTGTTATGTAAATATTTGCTGTGATGATGCCATGTCTTGGTCTAGGAACATTTTAAAATATAACAGAAACAAATCATAGCGGACAAATTTTGCGCTTCTGTGTTGCTTGAAAAGTACCAGCGTTCTAGACTGCGAAGCCGATAATGGGACACGCTCAGTTTCTGCCGATGCGAAACTTTACGGTTACCATTCCATTTTAGGTAAAAGTAAAATAATGAGACAGCTGGTAAAAGAATGAATTTTAATTTCAGACTACTTAAGCTCTGAAAGATGTCAGAACAACACTCAATTGGAAGAATTACAACTTATTGTATAAGAGCAGAAAAGAGCACAATAGTATTCCTTGGGATTTTTAATCAGAGAATAAGACAAGCAAAAATGATGCTCCTTGTCACTTTTGGGCGGAAAAACAGCAAAGACACTTGGCCCTCAAACGGTTAAGTAGAGGCAAACGATGTTAAGGGAAAAGTGTGTGTGTGTGTGGGGGGGGGGAGAACCCTAGAGACATAGCAGCTACCTCATATTTTTATGGAATAGGATAAACAATAACACTTCAACCTTTGGCTTCACTGTGTTTTACTTACACCGTCAACTTTCTTTTGTAGAGATACATTAAAATTTCATTCGTTTTCCTAATTTTTGTTAAATACTGCATATATGGTAATATTGTATATGTGTTATATTTAATGAATTCCACAGGTCTTGCATTATGAACTTACTTTCAAATTACTTTGTTCTTAAGCAGTCATATGGTGTCCAGGAACAAATTCATTTTACATAATTTCTTATGGAAAAAATTGTTTCAATGAATTAAGTTTGTGAACCAAGGTTACACTGTGTAATGCTAATTTTGACTTAAACTAATATGTATGATAATTTTTGCTAGTATATATGGAAATGAAAGTTTTGAAATTTTTAAGTAAATGTTGTATAACATATTCATTTTATATGTTCTAAATGTTATGTATGGTAAACTCATATATGATTTTATTATGCAAAATTTACTTGAACCAAGATAATGAGGTGAATTTTTTTACAAACTAACTTGTTATATACTTAGCATTGCTTGATACAATAGATAATATAATTGTAAAAAACCTCATTTTGAATTTAGTTCTATATGTAAAGAATTACCTTAGAAAGTGGGACAAGCTTTTTTGTTGAAATTTGTATAAAATTTTAATGTGCAGTAAAATTTAAATCTGTAAAAAATGTTAATATTTGATTTCTCCTGCATTTTGAATATCTTATGAAATTCTAATAGAGAGAATATATTATATCCTTTTCACTGTAAAATATAGTAGAATATATCAAGTTATTTTATTGTATACAATTATAAACTGGTTGCAATTTCAGAAAAGAACATTAAAATACATTACAGAATATGTGAAAGAATAAATTACTTAAGTAGTGTTCTTTTATAAATCTTGAATTAGAATGTGCTAGGTATGTATATTATATAATAAATTTATTCTATATTTTAATATACCAAAAAACTGTATATATTTAATTATGTTATATTTTATTTAGTATATCAATCAGTAATATTACATCAAATTTGCACTTTTTAATCCATTTATTTGTAGTGTTAATGTTTATTTATTTTATCATTGCTGTGTACAATTAGATAGTGAATATGAGATGATAAAATAAATTTGTAAATAATGCTTAGATTTAATTATATAAATTAATTTCTTTTGCAGATATGGAGGGATTCACTGATAGTCAAGCACCATTTTCATCTATGCTAATGGATAATTCTCAGAACAGAGGTGGTGCATTTGCCTGCACTTTTTGTCCTTACAGCACAAAATTTGCAACTACTTTAAAACGTCATATAAGTACTCACACTGGTGAGCGACCTTATGGTTGCATGATCTGTGGAAAAAGATTCATACAGAGAAATACTTTGCAACGCCATTTTAAATGCCATTCCATGTCTCATGATTATGAAGTTTTGTAGCTTAATTTTATACATAAATACCGATAAAAGAATTAATAATTTTTGTTACAAATTATGATATTTTTGTTATTTTATCAATTTGAGAGGTTGTGGTTGCAGAGAGCAAACAAGGTAATAAAATTATCACTATATTCCCTCTTTACAAATATAAATGGCAGCAGACTAATTCTGTTTTTCACTTTCAGAAAAAAAAGAATGTTGTTTTCATGTGTTAATATTTTTTTATTTATGTTAATTATAATTGAGATTGCTCCCAATTTCTGTTTTATTCACATGTAAACTTGCAAAGAAAAGATTGCTATTAAAGGTTTAATATATAGTTTTTCTTGATTTGCAGTTTTAATTTGGTACACACAGACACCATCCACCTGTGTAGTGACCTCAACAGAAGGTATTAATGTAACATTAAAACCTTCTGTAATATTAATACCTTCTTATTAATGAAACAATTCTCAAATATGCTTTCTGTTGCTATAATTTAAAATCAACAAACCATTTTTAGCATTTAAGGAATGTGATGCATTATTTAAAGTAATTTATAACCTTAATCAAACCTGTATGATAAAAACCATACTGAATTCATGATTAATAATGTGATTTTTTGATATACTCAGCATTTATTAATATAGCATCTCAGTTTGTTTTTCCTAAACATCATCTGTTTACATGCAGAATATTCTATGCTTTCAGTTGTTTGCTGGATGAAGTGAACATCTTGTGTCATAGATTCAAAAGCTGTGCAAACATTAGCAGCAAAATTTTGCATTTTACTAAAATAGCAATATATTCATTTGAAATATTAGCTAAAGCAGGTTTTTTTTTAACAGGATCGATAAAATTTTAGAGGGGACCAATGATAATCAAGGGGTTCATAGCTGAATATGCACCAGCAACTTATCTGCACAATCAAGATCCGATTGTTTTTTAAAAAAAAAATATTGATATAAAGCTATATCATGCAAAATCAAGTCTTATTCGAAGCACATGATTAAAGGTTTGGAATTTAAGTTATTTAAAATAATTTTTCAAAATAAAAGTTGCTACTGAACCAACATCATCGACTTTCCCTCTTATCTAGTGAAAGTAGAGAGAATTGTTGACTTGTAGTAGTCAAGTCAACAATTTACTACACCAAACAGAAAACTTTAATATTTTTAAACAAGATGAATTAAAGAATTGAGCAATTTTATGACAAATGTTTTTTAAAAAATGCATCAATACATCCAGCACAGCCATTACATTAATTAAAATCGAAAATTTGTGGAATTAGAATTTGTGATTATGTTTCTACTTCAAAAAATGAAAAATTAAAAAAAAATAATAATAAATAAATCTAATAAACTATATTTCCAAAACTTTTGTTTACATCCTGTCTTGATTGTTATCTTTAAATTACTTATGTGCAATTATTTGCATCATGATTTTGTTGTACACTGTATATTATAGAGAAAAATATAAGGAAGTCAATGAAGGGTACCATTCTTTTAAAAGGTGCTCAATGCAAGAAAAAGTTATGGAAGGAATCCCTAGTGTGTATACAGTGATCAAACATTAACATGCTGCAATGTCTTGGTTGGTACAGACATCATGATGATAAATCCAAGACGGGTCACCTTTCTTAGTCTAGAACAGATGAGAACATTAATAAAGTTCAGTAATTGTTACTCAAAAATTATCACTTATGTTGTAGATTGACAGCAGATGAGCTTAACATTAGTAAAGAGGTTGCTCATAAAAATTTTCATGGAAGATCTTGGAAGGAGGATTCAATTTTTGTTGATCAGAAAAAATCAAATTTTAGCACATCTTGATTAGATTTAAATGCCAGATATCAACCATGGTTTTTTTTCAAATGAAATATAATTGATAATGAAATTTCATTCTTTGCTCATATTGAAACAAAATGGCAATCATCTGTATCATTGACGTCATGTCTATGAAATTTTCAGTTTTAGAAATCTTGAGTAAAGACTGTCTTGATGGATCCTTTTATATTGCAAAGGGATCATTCATAAGGGGTTTATCCTGAGAGAAAGACATAATAGTCAGATTTATGAAGGTAATTAATTCTGCACTTTTCCCCCCTTTGTTAACTCTAATTTTAACTTTTCATGTTCCACAAAGTGTACCATAAGACTTACACTAGCAAAATAAATAAATATATGTATAATAGCACTGCAAATGGAGAAAAATGTATTAAACAATAAATAAATAAATAAATCTGAAAGCTTTTAGATTTTACATTATGCCCAAAGAGATTTTTTTTTTTTTTTTTTTTTTTTTTTTTTTTTTTTTTTTTTTTTACCTTTTGTGTGTTACCTTTAATTATTAATATCATGTTCTTTGCACTTAAAGCATAAATCAATTCGACAGCAATATCGCAAATAATTTTAAAAGACATATTTTAGAATTTTGATACAGTCAGTGCTGAGATAAAAAAAATCCCCTCTTACAATTTTGTGATTGCTCGCTTTGAAATCTGAGTTTAATCAAAAATTCATTGAAGTGTTACAAAATACGAAATCTATAATAAAACAAATTGTAAATTAGGGCTTCCAGATGCCCATATTCAGTGAAAGATTAAATTATTCAAAATTTGATGGCTTTAGGTACCATTTTATCACAATGCGAGAAACATACATATATTTATGCAGACTCTTCATTATTTAATTTCTTTAAATATAACACAGGACGATAATATTTGATGGCAATAATTTGAAAAGTCAACAGACATTTAACATTTTCAATGCAAAATGCCAAAATAAAATAGTCCTTTGGGCTAATAATAAATATATAAAAAATAAGTAAAAGAAAAAAGGTAATAAAGAGAACTCAATCAAATTGAGAGTAAAATTCCCAAAAGCAGAAATTGTCTCTTTAGTATGAAAAAAATTGGTGGTCAAGATACAGACAGGCACATCAGATTTACTTGAAATATCTTCCTCTTCTGAACAGGATGAACACACTCGAGAAGAATATGCTTTACATCTTCATCGTCGTTATCACAGCTGCACAAAGCACTTGAAGCAAGTCCAAATCACCTTAAACAGCTCTTAAAATTTCCATCTCCAGTCAAAAATTGAGTAACTTTTATTCTGTGAAAAATTATAGGAAAAAAAGTTTTGGTTCCATAGTGCTTGTGTTGAGGCTGGATATTCTCTGTTCCAAATACAGATAGCATTATTTCTATAAAAGTGCTTCCAGTGAGAAACAGGAACATGAAAATTTAAATCAATGTTATATTTCATGGCTAGCTTTGCAGGAGCATAAGCTCTTTCATTTTCACAATGTCCATATCAAGATCTTAATAATAACCTGAATTTCAACAGCAAGTTTCTCTGAAACATTAATTTTCTGTAATAACTAAAGCAAAGAAAGAGAATTGCTACATATTAAAATGTGCAATTCTACACATTAGGCCTGAAAATTTTCATCGAAATAACTGGTTTCTGTAGTACTGTCACAAAATTTCATATTCTTTAGGCAGTTTGTAGAAGGATAAGGTTTAAGAATGTTTCTTCCGTGTTTAAAAATATTAATTATTTTTGTTTAATAGCAAAACTGGATATATTTGCAATTGGATGGTCTTGAATGGATTTCAGGAGGGTCATCTTAGAGAATACTATCATAATATAAAGAAACATAATACAGTCAAAAGTCTTTAATCCGGACTCGTCGGGACTTCGACGATTCCGGGTTATCGATCATCAGTTTAAATCTGGTAAGATGGCATGCAGAAATTATAAAATTAAAAATATGAAACCGTAATTTATAAAATAATGAGCAATTATGATCTAAAGGGTATCAACATTTACAAAAAAAAGAAGCTTAATATTTGTTTACTTTATTAAAAATTTCTTTCAATGTGCGCATGCGTAAAGCATACCTTACGCATAGCCGAAATTAGAAAATTGCAACCAGAAAACTATTTGATTTGTATTCGTGATATTTATAATGACGAGGAATTTGATTTAAATCATATCAAAGACGGAGTACATCGAGATTAAATACTACATTTAGTAAGGAATTATAAGCCGAATAAAATAAAAACATCTGCCCTGAAGATAACGATAGTGCTGACAGATCAACTTCCAGTTCATTGCGCGCGCGACGTCCCCCCCCCGCGCAGAGCAGCGTGAAATTGATAAACAGATTTCGGAACGGTTAGATAAACAAAGGATATGCCTTTATCCATTTTTTTGTAGCAATTCGTTTTTTGTTTGATGGACATCGAAACATACTTTCGTTTTCTAGATCCTTTGGGAGCTCCAGCATCGGAAATTCTATTTGACATAATCGAAAGTTCAAGCTTACTTTTATAAAATTGCTCTTACAGTCTGCAAAAAATAATAAGCCGGATCCAATTCGAAGATTAAGGAACAACGCAATCATCAACATTAACTGAAATAGATAATTAGATAATTTTAGCTTATACCGTCCGTTATACATTAAACGCGCACGCGAAAACGTCGCAGACGCATATGCGCAGTCGTAAATGTCTTACGCGCACGCGTAAAACGCCTATGCGCATGCGTCAACGCGGCGCATGCGCAGAAAGATTTTAGCTTTGAGCTCTGGATTATGGGTGTCCGAATTAACGACTTTTGACTGTATTCATAATTATCAGAAATATGGTCACTTTTAAAAAAGATTATCTTGGGAAGGCAGTTACTAGAAAATACCCTTATCAATATACACACATACTTTTGCTATTATGTATTGCTTAGTTTTTAAGTAACAAGCAAATATTCATAAACTACATAGTAGTTATAAATTGAAATGACGAAAACGAAAATTCTCTGAAATTTCACTTAAATCAGAACCAAAATAAAATACTCCTGTAACAGTGCATTTAGACAAAGTTTCATAAGGATATTTGATTTAAAATTATTAAAATGTACATCAAATGGCAATGAAAAGTTAAGCCAGGTTTAAAGTGACTGAAGGAAAAAAAACTCAATCGACTCAAAATTTGAGCTAATGATACATTTATGAAATAAGCCTAAAAATGACATATACATTTTATTTAAAAATGCTTATAAGCATAATTAAGGAGATAGATAGAAATTATTAAGTATATTAATCATGAAAATACATAAGTATTGAAACATAATTAAAATCAAGAATATACATCATTCTAAGTTTTTGGTGATGTGGATATAAATGATGATAGGAAATCAGAATTCCAGTCAAGAACTGGAAAATATGTATGCAAGGGGAGATGATAATGAAATTAAGAATATCTGATGTGGACACTACAACTTCCTTGTACAACTTATTAAATTATAACACATTTTTCCTGCACTTCATTTAAACTTATATCCTCACATTGCATTTGAGATGCATTTCTAATTCAATCAATTCAGTTCCCACTTCGCAGCAAGGCAAACAAATGGCGGCCTCATTAGGCTTAGTGCCAATTAAACTTTTAAATTGTTGGTAATTCTGCAGCTATTGCACACAGATTAACTAAAGGCATAAAAACTTTTAACTGGAACATAAGAACTACATAATTCAATCACTTTTAAAACAAAAAATGCACAATTTACCAACATATAACAATAAAAAACTGACCTCGCCCAGCCCGGTAACAGAGTGGCTATATATATATGTGCTTGGTATGGCCAATTGCAACTAAAAAGAATAGGTGCAACACTTCATATTATACCAGTCTCATGCACAAAATTTCAATGTTCTATGACCACTCATTTTTGAGTTATGTAAGATACATACGTATATACAGATGCCATCTCTTCTCAATCCATTTTGGGGAAAAAAAAAAAAAAAAAAAAAAAAAAACACCTTTATTCTGTCTGCGCATACATCATTCAAATAGATTCACTAAGACTAAAATAGATATTTCCATTGATTCCCGCAAATTTTTCGTGTACCACCTCCTTTACTTCATTTGCACTTTCATGTTATCTTGGTAGTATCCAAAATTTAGATATATTTTCTTGTTATATTAATTCTCTTAAAACATAAAATTAAAAGGCAAAATATTTTTATCTTATTAAAAAAACAATATTTTTATCTAATTAAAAAAACAAACTGTATTTGTACATAATTAACTTTTCCTGATTGGTTTTAAATACAAAATATGCTCATGCTTTGCTTGCTGCCTCTCAATATTTGATTTTGGCTTAGTGAGAATGAAATACACAGGGTTCATATGCATTTCTCAACATGGAAATTAAGGACTTTTAAGAACCATTAATGGAAAACAATTAAGAACCCATCAGCAAAAGGGAACTCGATAAATTCAATTAAAGATATTATCTATGCCTGAACTTCATTTTTGTAATACTATCCAAGAATATAACAATTCGTAAATAGGATGCATTATTATTAAACATAATTTAATTAACATAATTATAAAACAAATTTGTTAATAAAATCAACTTTCTAAAATTTATCAAGTAGCATTAAATATTTTACCTGGACGTATTTGAAAGGAGATTAGTGAGATTTTATTTACATCTTACTAACAGTTAGCTTTATGTTAATTTTTTTCTAGTATGTCTCATTTTGTCACATACTTGTTCAGTCAAGCGGTTTAGTAAATAGCAGGTAGATTTTGTCAAATGGCACAGGTTAAAATGAGAAGCAAAATCATAATCAGCATGATTCATAACAGAAGACTGGCTGTTGCCACCACCACTGCTGCTTGCAGTCTTGTCTAGAGAGAGACCTGGTGATCAAAACAAACCTGAAAGCCTGATGTACGCATGGTTGGCAAGCTTTGAGAGTTAGTTGTGCTCTGTCTGATGCAGTCAGTGTCATGGTTTCGTGTAGAGTTTCTGAGGTTGTAACCAAGTTAATATAGTTTAAGGTTCCAATAAGCCACTAAAGCACCAGAGGTGATGTGAAAGTTGTTTTGTATGATTTTAAGTCTCACTAGATGCAAAAAGTAAGTTTTACATTAATTTTACATTTTTGTGCTATATCTTGTAACCACAGTAAGGATTAATGAAAGACAATAACATGCAAAGATAACTTTTAAGGATTAACCATAAGTTATAAATAATTGAATTAGGTAGTTTGATACCTGTTAGTCATTATAGATTTACATGGCCACTAATAAATTATACTTATTAAAAAAATATTTTTTAAAAAAGCACTATTAAAATAACAATCTAATAACATTTCACAGTTTAAAATACATGTGATTTATGATATTGTTACGTTTTTCTTCTGACACCAGTTGTTACGTTACTTTCTTCCTTCACGTTCCTACGGGTTCGTATGGATTTGGAGTGAATAATGACGACACTACTTGATGAAATATCGAAACAAACTTTATTTAGCCAATATTAATCAGGACAGCTCCAAAGTCACTTTTTACAGTCGTTGAAGATCTACTATAAACACGCTGACACAATCAGCAACACAGCCTTCACACTATCAGGCTATAACGGTGGAGACAGCTTCACTGCAAAGCACCAGAGTACAGCTCCCGACTCTGTTCGGTCGTTCTCGGAATTCCACATACTCTCGAGACTCTCCACGTTACAACTCGCGATGCACTCGACGACGCACAGAGCACAGCTCCTGACTCTTCGGTTCAGTCATTCCCGGAGCTTAACACACTCTCTCGATGATGCACTAACCGCTGTACATTAACAGACTTTTCAATGCACTCGACAACCCACTCGGCACTCGCTGCCCGACTGTCAACTCGATCGACACCTCACGGACTGACTATCTCGCCGTCTACGAGGCACACTCACTCTGCAGGGATTGACTCGCTAGACGAGACACCAACTGGATACTAATTAACTCGCACTCTAGACAAGGCATACTCTATATCAGCTCAATAGGCGAGGCACACATTCTCTCAGTGACTGACTATCAGCTCACTAGACGAGACACCAACTCGATACTAACTAACTTTCTGCGTACCAGCAGGGTTTATATAGCTTTTGACTGGTGTTCGAAAACATTTTGGGCTAAACTGGTTGGAATTCATTCCAGAAGGTTCTCCATCCATCCGTGGCATGTCGCCAAATGGGCGATTTCTCACCAAATGTGGCAACCCTAAAATGCTTTGTGGGGAAGCCATCTTATTGCGCCTGTACATTTCGTAACACTGCACCCTCCTAAGGACTGCACGTCCCGGGCAATGCAACCCTTGGTGAGAAGCCTAATTCGGTACAAACAAATAACATAACTAAAGAAACAAACATTTACACTACGCACAAGTTATATACACAAATTGACACATTACAATTTTAAATTATACAAATTAAAGTTAAGAATGAATTTCAGTCTCAGTCTTTTCATTAAGTTATACCAAGGTCAAATACTTTTCCACTGCAATTCTCAGATGCATTTCTGTTTTGCATATCACAGTCTGAAGATTCAGTCCTTTAAGACTTTCCATCCACAGAAAAATAGGAAACAGTTTGTTCACCACTCTGAAGTTTGTCTACATCACGCGTACAGTTCACATCGGTATTTTCAACAACTGGTACATGCACATTTTCCACCATTTCCTGAGTACAGTCAAAAGTCATTAATACACGGACACACATCAAAGCTAAAATCTTTCTGCGCATGCGCCGCGTTGACGCATGCGCGTTTAATGTATAACGGACGGTATAAGCTAAAATTATCTAATTATCTATTTCAGTTAATGTTGATGATTGCGTTGTTCCTTAGTCTTCGAATTGGATCTGGCTTATTATTTTTTGCAGACTGTAAGAGCAATTTTATAAAAGTAAGCTTGAACTTTCGATTATGTCAAATAGAATTTCCGATGCTGGAGCTTCCAAAGGATCTATAAAACGAAAGTATGCTTCGATGTCCATGAAATAAAAAACAAATTGCTACAAAAAATGTAGGCATATCCTTTGTTTATTAATTGCTACAAAAAGGCATATCCTTTGTTTATCTAACCATTCCGAAATCTGTTTATCAATTTCACGACGCTGCTCTGCGCGAGCGCGCGGGGGGGGGACGTTGCGGCGAGCAATGAACTGGAAGTTGATCTGTCAGCACTATCGTTATCTTCAGGGCAGATGTTTTTATTTTATTCGGCTTATGATTCCTTACTAAATGTAGTATTTAATCTCGATGTACTCCGTCTTTGATATGAATTAAATCAAATTCCTCGTCATTATAAATATCACGAATACAAATCAAATAGTTTTCTGGTTGCAATTTTCTAATTTCGGCTATGCGTAAGGTATGCTTTACGCATGCACACGTTGAAAGAAATGTTTAATAAAGTAAACAAATAAATATTAAGCTTCTTTTTTTTTTGTAAATTTTGATACCCTTTAGATCATAATTGCTCATTATTTTATAAATTACGGTTTCATATTTTTAATTTATAATTTCTGCATGCCATCTTACCAGATTTAAACTGATGATCTATTATCCGGAAAAATCAATAATCCGGAATCGCCGAAGTCCCGACAAATCCGGATTAAAGACTTTTGACTGTAAATGACAGATCAGGGTTACACTATATACGAGTTAAAAAATGTATTTTCAAGTTAAATCAGAATTTCTACTTTCAATAATATACAGCTAAATTAAAATGATGTGGCAATTATCTATTCACTGCATGCTGTTCTGAAACTGCAAACTAAAGCTGCCTCTAGCAATAGAAAATGAAACACATGAAATAGTGATCCAAAATATTTCCTCAAATTTTTTTTAAAACAGCATCAATATTTTATTTAATTATTTTACATCAGTTCATATTTTAACTATTCTGGAACAGGCCAATCATAATTAACTTCAATATACAGATTATTTACTAAATTTTTTGACATGCATTTCTTACTAATATCACTTTAACCAATCTCTGGGTAGAACTCAATAATTATTTTTTAAATAATGATAACAAGTGTAATATATTAGTCATAAAAAGATCTTCAATAGCAATTTAATGTGAAAACCACCATTCTCTCAAAATTATGGCATTTTTCCTTTATAGAATTTGTATCAAAAATTACTGATTGCCATAACTAAAAGATAAGTCTGTAATGGGAGTTTCTCCTATCACAGACTTATCCTTTAGCTCATGGCAGGAAGTATAAGATGAGTATACGTTTTCATTCCAGATTATTTTATCTAATCACTTATCATTTATATAAGACATATAAATCTTTTATTAAATTTATGTCTGATGATGTAAAGCAGTTTTCATGAAAAATAAGATAATTTATAAGAAGTGATATTGCAGCCCAAGTTCATTCGGTTACCATTTAAAATCCACTTTTCTCCCTATTTTGTGACTTACACAGTTAAGAAGTTTATGATCTATGAACTGCCAAATGCAGTTATAAAAATCTTTAAAAAAATTAAACCTAGCTACAAAATTACACATTTATTTACAAAAATTTATTACAAATTATTACTCTGTCTATAATGCAGTACTAAATGTGCCTGAAGATTCCCCTTTAAAGTAAATCGTTTGTTACAAATGTTGCATGCATGTGGTCGTTCCCCAGTATGAGTTAACTCGTGTCTAGTAAAATCACCTCTCTGGTCAGTGGAATAACTACACTTAGGACATAAAAACCGTTTTCCTGGACCTTCTCCTCTTTTTCTTCGGCGTCTTGGATATGATGGAATGAAACTGTATTCTTTGCCATGGGTGAAATAATTTTGAAATCCTATATAAATAAGAAACATTATATATGGAGAGTTACCAGACTATAGAGGCATTAATTATAACAAGCAATTCTGCACAAAAGACGCATACAATAGATAACTGCATAAGATATAAACAATATATTTAAAATATAATTTTGTATTAATAATATATTTTAATAATATTTGCTAATTATAACAAACTATTGTACTAATTAAAAAGGCAGCCTACCTAACCTACTAATTAAAAAGACAGCCTATCTAACCTATGTTTAATAACATGTAATGTTTGGAAAAATGTACCACAGTTGTTTTTTTCGGTACTCTTCTATTATTGGGATTGAGTTCAGAAATGTATGTATACCTGCGTGCATGTTTGTTTGTATGTACATACATACGAACATGTATGGATGGTAAGTAAATATATACACATGTATCTATGTATGTATATACATACACACAAACACTCATACATGTAAGCATTATTGAATCCGGTCCCAATAACAGAATAACAGAAAAGTACCCTTTTTTTTTTTTTTTAAATACAAGCCTACTGAGAAGATGCTAGTTTAGTAAATTAAACACAATTTTAATAATGTTCTCTGGATATATTTAGTACTTAAAAGCATTACGAGTGAATATTTATAAATTATATCATTTTATAGTGCCAAAGTTGCCTATTATTCACTTCCCCCGCCTTATTTTCAAATTTTGGCCTTTTCTCCATTAATACATAAGTACTGTTTTCAGATTTTTATTTTGGAAAACAGAGTGATATAAGATGTTATTGTCATATATTTGTAATTGTAAATTTTGATTCCAGTAATTCACAATCAACAGAATCTTATAAGCCTCATGATATAATCTATTACTTGCATTCTGCAGACTGTTTTGGTTCAGTTTTAAGATATTATGAGATATACGAGTTGCTACTTTAGTTAGCATTTTTAGCATTAACAGCGACATCAAAATCTTGACGGAGTTTCACACGTTCACTTATTTGATTCATTAAAAGAATCAAGGGCTTTGACACTATTGTGTGACTTAAATATTGATGAACACTACAGAATGTTATCAATTTCATGCAATTAAACACTTTGTAAAATTATGCAATAATTTTCAGTCAACAGTTCACATCCTTAAACTCGGGATGAAACTAACCTGAATACAAAGAGAAAGGCCTAAGTGCCTAGACAAAAAAGATATTTGCTTACATGAAATTATGTAAAAAATTCTTTAAAGTAAGACAGATTTTAAAATATAACTGACAACTTTGAAAGTAAGTGACATTTATATATCTTCTTCGAGAACAAAATTTTTTTCTCTCAAGAGGATGGTCGTTTAAAAGTTTTGTCTAAAATTTGATGGAGAAGAAAGATATAAGACCTTTAAGCTGAATTCTTTAAGATAATCTAGGCCAAAACTTGACAGGAAGTTAAACTATTTCTAAATAATACATTTTTTTATGAAAATACATGGCTTGATAAAACATAATTAATAACTCATCATAAAAATTATTATTTCACAATGACGTTACAATGCCTAATAATGATTCACTGCATTTTAAAAATATTGCAATAATAAACATAAAAAAATTTTAAATGAATGTCAATCCAATATTAAAACAGAATAATTATACTTTACAGACACACACACACACACAAAAAAGATAAGTTGTTTAAGTGTTTTTTTTTTTGGTTGGTATTAATGCACAAGGCTTTCAATTGTTTCTCTCTTAAATACTATCAGATAGAAAAAAGGGATGTCTTGGATAACTCCTTGATCATCATATCAAAAAATGTCATCTGTTCAATGTTAAATGACGGAGTCGGTAATTTTCTTCATTACTATCTTGTTCCTTAGATAGTTATCACTTGCAAAAAAATTGAATTAAAAAATGTTTAATTTACAGTTCAATTTTTAAATGAATTTTAACTGTCAGCTTGCATCAACTGAATTATTTACTTATTTAAAAGTTTCTTTTAGAATATTTGATGTTGTGCTTTCCACTTAATAATGAAACTGTTAATAATAAATAGACATTTTTGCAGATTCTTGCAAACAATAAAATAATGGAAAGACATTTGAAGTCTTGGATTTAAAAAAAAAGAGAAAGAGAGAGAGAGGATGCTGACAAGAAACATGCAACCGTTTGATGTGTGAAAGCTAGTTCTGAATAAAAGAAATACTCCTTTATATAAGTTATTAAATATATATATATAATGTAAAAATTGTCACTTTAAAAATTAAATGTATAAGTACGCGACTTTTTCACAAAAAATTTGATTTTTTTCCCTTTACAACAAGGTAATATTAGATTTGTTATTAATTTTTAAATGACTATGAAGAAAAAGCTGAAAACTGCTCTGCATTTTAATTCTGTTTTCAGAGTTAAATAATTTGAAATAAAATGAAATCCATTATATACTGAATTCCACATAATCACTGAAGTGCTATTTTATTATATTTTGTAATATTTGTTAGGGAATGAAATAAGCTGGTATTAATTAAATGGTGTCCTGGCCAAATTAAAATTCCATATAGATGCTTTTACACAGAATAATCTCGTTTTCTTCCTTTTTAAATTTACCACATAATTTATTATGCCAATGTAAATTTCTTAACTAATTAAACTTTTTAGAACTCTCGTACTTTTGAAAAGAAATAATTCTCTCTTGTTGGCAAGACCTTGAAAAAAAAAAGTTTGTTTACATTTAAACTTCAGTTTGGCTTTAGCAGAGTTACGAAAAATAAATAAGCCACAGAGGCCACTGAAGTATTTCACTTGCTTGAGTAATTAAAAGATGTACAAAGCTTCATCTATTACAGTAATTGTGTTGGGTACTTTTGTGTTATGCACCTGCAAAATGGCAGCACGCAATGATCTATTGGCAATCAGCTACTACATGGTGTGCATGTGTTTTTGCAATCTATAAACTATTCTTACAACTAGAAATGATTTACAATTGAACAGGCCAAAATGCTTGGCAAGTGCATAACGGAAAAGTATCCTGTATCCAAGTTTCACATTTGTAAAAAACTTTTTTCTGCGTCTAGTGAGTTGGCTTAGATGTACTTGAAAGCTTAAAAGACTGCTGAATGTATGCGATTCATGATCTATGGTAGTTATTTCTAAAACAAAGCATCTTTGCTTACAGAACCTGATAAAGGATATTAATGCACAAGGCTTTCAATGAATAAAGATAGAAATTATTTTTTTTCTGCTGATATTTTTTCCCAAATTAACTTTCCAATATACCATGATCAAGGAACTAAAGTCTTAAAACTTGAACTCCATTTTCAAGTCATTAAGTAAACATTACATGAATCAATCTTGCATCTGGTTGGCTGCCTCTTCGGCTATATATGAAGATCAAAGTGATTGGAATAAAATATACTAATCAAATTCATATAAGTATACGAATATAAAAATATATAAACCAATCAGTGAATTAAAAGGAGACTTAACTAAATGAATATGAAAACAAATATTTTATGTAAAGTTTATTGTACATCAAATAATTTCATCACATAACTATTAATAAAGTATAAAAATATGTTAACATTTATGTTTTGGAAGAGATAAGACCATAAATGGCATACTGACACAAAATAAGAGGAAAAAATTACACCAAATAGTAAAATTAATTTCTAATGTAGAAGAAAAAATAGTAAAAGAAAATAAAGCTTACATAAAATTATAAACAAATATTATGATTAAAAATACGTGAATCACATTTCATAACAGCTAACGAAAGTAATGGCCAAATTACTCTTTCTAAAAGTTAAAAAAATAATATAATTTATAATTCAAAGAACGGGTAAAGTGCAGAATCGCCCACTTATTTGTTTGGCGCTTTTTACAAGAGTAAGAAGAATTGGATTTCTGTCAATTTTCTTTGACTTTTTAAGTGAAAATAGGTCGATGTGTACATGGATATCGAGTATGTGCAATTCTTAAAAACGCGCGAAGCAGTGGATGATTCTACAGTTTCCCCGAAAAATCTTCAACGTAAAATTATAATAATGAATAAACAGCAGTAATGAGATCTGAATATGCAATAAGACAAATATTGGTAAAAAAATGTATATCTGAAACTATTATCGTAAAAATCAGTCACTGGCATGGCTAATTTATTGTTTCTTAAAAAGGATCATGTAAATACAACACAAAATATATTTAACCTAACACTAAATGAACGAAAGAGAAATCAAATGTTAAAATACACAATTACGCATCAAGAAATGTTTAACATAGCTAAATAGAATTTACTATTTGTAACACAAATCAAATAATTAAATATAAAACTCTGCTTTCCCTACGACAAGATAACAACTCAAACAGAACATAAAATATAGGAATTTATTTTTAACATTCACTTAAAAATTAAAGTAGGGTAATAAATTTTTTGAAATCGTCGCAAATAATTTGAATTTTCAACAGTTACAGTCATGAGTTACACAGTTGTTTTTTTTTATTCTAATAAAAATTTTTTTAAAGTTAATAATAAACAATAATAATTTATTTGTACACATTTACTTTTTATTATTAACTTCCGACAGTAGTATGTATGGAATCAAACATCAGGCAATATAAATAAGCAGTCAATTGATTCCGTAACAAATTAATATAAAAAAATGCCGAAGTCAATTAACATAAAAAATATAAGAAAAAAGAAGAACATGAGATTATCTCTTACATCAAAAAAGGCAATTATTTAAAAAAAAAAGGTATTTTCTTTAGACTGAGTTCTGGTTTATAAAAACTTCATTGCATTTGTTCCTTATGTGTGTATTTATTTTTCACTCATAAATAAGTTTTAAATCTTAATAGTAAAATACTTTTTAGAGCCAAGTTTTTTTTCTTTATTTGTCCAATGTTTTTCTCATTTTTATGTCTAAATTAGTTAACTGTTGCTGTTAACTGAGACTGCAAAATATATATTTGCAGCTTTTGTATTAATTCACTAGATGGCGCTGAATAACTGAATGGGAATTTCAATGCAAAATAAAAGCAAGTAAATGTTCAGCTTTCATAATATCTATCTGTCAGTGGTGTTAGATTAGTAATTAGAAGATTCGGTATTTATTCGACTGGGTCACTGATGCGTTAGAGACTTGTTCGAGAAATTAAAATATGTAGGATGTTTCATCTATTACAGTAACTGTGTTGTTTTATATTTATAAAAAACTTTCTTCTATAGTTAGTAAGTAGGCTTAGAAATAGTTGAAGGCTTAAAAAGACTAACCGCTGAAGGTATGAGATTTAATTTAAATTTTTTTTTTCTTCGATATTTTCTTATGATCTAAAAATCTATTTCTAAAACAGAGTATCTTTGCTTACGGGAACCTGATAAAGGATATTAATACAGAAGGTTTTTTTTGAATAAAGGTAGAAATTGTTTTCTGCTGACATAAAACGTTTATTTATTTGAGTAAAGAAATTGCTGTTTCTGAATTTTATATGATTATGATTTCATGCAATAATCATCTTTTGTTTGCTTCCTTATATGGCTTCGTGCATACCTTTTTAAGATAGACGGATTTATCTAAAATAAATAATTTTGTGTACCAAAACTGTTTGTATAGTTTAAATTACTTTTTATTAGGCATATAAAAGTGTTTAAATACGCAAGGAAAATAACTTGCCCCCTTTTTTGGGGGTGGGGGATGATGTGTCTGTGTCTTATTACCATGCTGATGTATTTAAATGTCACATTAACTGTAATTAAACCAAGCTCCAAATATGGTGTTAAGAAATACATTTCATTCTCTTCACCAAAAATTGAATGGAATTTAAAATATGAAATGAAGTGTTATTTTTGTCAGTATTTTTATTTAAACATTACTGTATAGTGTATGTTTACATTATATGCAAGCATTTATTTAAAGTCTGTATCTGTTATTCATTTATACTTACAAGTTGGGAAATAATTGCACATTTGTATCATTTGATGCTTAATATTTTTAGTCTAAAACATCACAAATTTTCAAAAATTTTTAAAGTTGTGTATGTCTCTGGGTTCCCACCCCTAATTAATTTTTCAATTTAAAATTAGTGTTGTTTACCATGTGACTTATTTAATCAAAACAAAGTATCTAAGGTATATGTACTAAAACTTTTATATAAGTTATTTTGAAATGGGCATGTTGTTAACGACTAGTATATGAAGTATTATCTCCCATCCCCATTTTTGTCATCTTGCACTAGATTTTTAAGTTATGAACATGCTTATCCTTGATTTTGGAAGATGATGAGCAGCTGTAAATTGTGGTGGTCTTATATTTGTTTTGATCATGGAAGTTTTTCTGAGTTGGATGTTTTTAACACTTGAAAGAGGTAACTCTTTCTTGTTATTTGTTTATTTATATATATATATTTTCAATTTTAATGAAACCATGCCCATAATAAGTAGAGGTTTTTGTCAGTTGACGATAGAGCTTTCTTTTACGTTTCCATACTATAAAAGTGCATTGCTCAATAAAGCATAAGTTAAATATTTTATCCAGTCCTTTTGAAAACGTTCTTTAACAAATATTATTTTATGTTATGAATTTTATAAAGAAGACAGGTTTGTAAAACCTTATGAAAACTACATTGCAAAATAGCTGTTTTCTCCCATCTGTTATCTACAATCAAAATTAAATGTTGATCTTTACATTATGGTAATTTGGCGATTTTTTGGCGAAAATTTGGCAACCAACTCTCCTACAGCAACCCTCTATTTTTTTTCCCCGCCGCCATTTTGTCTTCACGAAGTAAAGACATGTTTCTTTTCTTTTTATCTACTGAACGCTTCTTCCAACAATCTAGTAGCCGAATTACACTTATGCTAGAAATTTTATCAAACAAAACTGCTTAATCATGACAAATATTCACTGCAAAATTGGGAAGAAGTGCACAATACCATACTCCTTACGCGTTTTTCAAAATAACACATACACATAAACCATGTACACGCCGACTTATTTTTACTTAAAAAAACATCCCAGAATTGCACAAAAATGGCATTGCGCACACTCTTCACTATATCCATGTACACTGCTTTTTTCTCATAAATTACAAAAATTTCACGAAAATACATGACAATTTTCTCAATCTTTACACCCGGTAAAAAGAACATATATGAAATTACCTGATCGCGAAAAAGTATTTATCCTATACAAATATGAACATTTCCACATATAAAATAAATAAAATATCCAAAAACTTTTACCTCTAAATCATCTATTACATTATACACGTCACCAACGAATTCATACCGCAAGCATTACAAATACTTAGTATCAAATATTTAAATTATTTCCATGCACGTTTATTTCAACTTAAACGTATACCAAATTCCTACAAACATAAAATTCACAAAATAACTATCATTTAATTAAAATATCACTAAACCATGTACACGTCGACTTATTTTTACTTAAAAAAATCCCAGAATTGCACAAAAATGGCATTGCGCACACTCTTCACTATATCCATGTACACTGCTTTTTTCTCATAAATTAGAAAAATTTCACAAAAATACATGACAATTTTCTCAACCTTTAAACCCGGTAAAAAAGAACATATATGAAATTACCTGATCGCGAAAAAGTATTTACCCTTTCCAAATATGAACATTTCCACATATAAAATAAATAAAATATCCAAAAACTTTTACCTCTAAATCATCTATTACATTATACACGTCACCAACGAATTCATACCGCAACCATTACAAATACTTAGTGTCAAATATTTAAATTATTTCCATGCATGTTTATTTCAACTTAAACGTATACCAAATTCCTACAAACATAAAATTCACAAAAATACTATCATTTCATTAAAATATAATTAAATTCAAAAACACTACTTAAAATATAAATGAGTACATACATTAAATTAATAAAAATTACCTTACAATCCTAATTACTTTAAACTAAATCATTGCTAATAACAATTTTCCCAATGATACCAAATTCCTTTCCACCTTACATTTAGAACAATGCATAATAATAATATCCTCATATAATTAAAAATACTAACTTACCTAATCTTCTTCAGAATCTTGATTACGTGGCGGATACACTTTTCTAATTCATTCAATAAAATTATTGAAAGATTTTTTCTGCGAATTACTTCCTCCGCTAAATAAAAAGCAAACTTTTCTTTATCACAATGCCTAAATACCTATTTCGAATTCACTTTAGTTAGGGCCATGGGATCCAAAATTAAACAACACTGTTTTCACACAACACAGAATAAAGCTAAATACAAATTTCCACATTTTTTTTTTTTTCCGATTTCCCCCCTTTTCTGATTAAAGAACCGTAATTCGTCCATTAATATCACATGACATATCCCATGATCTCTCATTTCCCTCACGCAAAATAATGCGTAATCGGAACTGAGTACTACTCACATTATTACCAAAGTCCCAGGTAGTAACCTTTATCGCCTCCAAAATGTCGCCAAACTACCAGTTATCATATTTTAAAGATCAACGAAATTGAAATAGCTGGTTGTCCTGGAATTATTTTTGTATGTAGAATATTCTTGGATTATCCAGGCTAATGTTTAGGAAGCAGCTTACCGAATCAGGTAATTTCATATACAGTCAAAAGTCGTTAATTCGGACACCCATAATCCGGAATGATCTATAATCCGGACCTCAAAGCTAAAATCTTTCTGCGCATGCACCGCATTGAAGCATGCGCGTTTTACGCATGCGCACAAGACAGTTATGACTGCGCATATGCGTTTGCGCAAGCGCAGAATACGTTTTCGCGTGCGAGTTTAATGTATAACGGACGGTATAAGCTCTAATTATCTATTTCAGTTAATGTTGATGATTGCGTTGTTCCTTAATCTTCGAATTGGATCTGGCTTATTATTTTTTGCAGACTGTAAGAGCAATTTTATAAAAGTAAGCTTGAACTTTCGATTATGTCAAATAGAATTTCCGATGCTGGAGCTCCCAAAGGATCTAGAAAACGAAAGTATGCTTCGATGTCCATCAAACAAAAAACGAATTGCTACAAAAAATGGATAAAGGCATATCGTTTGTTTATCTAACTGTTCCGAAATCTGTTTATCAATTTCACGCTGCTCTGCGCTGGGGGGGGGGGACGTCGCAGCGTGCAATGAACTGGAAGTTGATCTGTCAGCACTATTGTTATCTTCAGGGCAGATGTTTTTATTTTATTCGGCTTATAATTCCTTACTAAATGTAGTATTTAATCTCGATGTACTCCGTCTTTGATATGATTTAAATCAAATTCCTCGTCATTATAAATATCACGGATGCAAATCATATAGTTTTCTGGTAGCAATTTTGTAATTTCGGCTATGCGTAAAGTATGCTTTAAGCATGCGCGCGTGGAAAGAAATGTTTAATAAAGTAAACAAATAAATATTCATCATTCCCATCCTGTTGAGAACATTGTTATTTATATTAATAAATAATAGCAGAAATGCTAAATAATAGCTTTTTTTTTTACAATAAAATCCTAAATATTCCATTTCATGGATCTGCTAACATTTAAAGCAAATTTATTGTAAAATTTTGCTATGTGACCAAAATTGCTTTCTTGAATTTTATTATGAATTTGTTTTTGCTCTATATGAGGTTAAAATATGTTGCTCTAACTTTTTCCGTAATAGAACTATTGGTGTATAGCAGCATTATCTTGTTGATAAACGAGTGGAATTCACCCAAAACATTAAGTATTCAAAAGTGATTCTGCTGCATTTTAATATACTTGGCAGCAGTGCCACAGAAAGACTGTCATATTTGTAAAATATGTAAGAGATATTTTGTGACATCTGTACCTATGTATATATCTCACATAACTCAAAAGAGTAGCTGTAGAATGTTCAAATTTTGTGTATGGGATTGCCATAACATGCAGTTGTGCACCTCACTTTTTGGTTGAATATACGAGGGCCATCCAGGAAGTAGATTACGTTTCCGTCTGTGTCCGCTAGGGGCGGGGCTAGCGCGGCCATCTTGGGGTCAGAGCGTTGCGCAGCTCAGTCTGCATCTAGCCGTGCTAGTGAGAGGTTCGTGCTGTGCTCCGTTCAGATACTGTGACGGTTTGAAATGCCTGCGTTAATTAAAAATCCCGCGAGCTGCGAGGTGCGCTCAGTAATAAGGTTTCTGACTGCAAAAAACTGTAAACCGATAGAAATCTATCGGCAGCTTCGTGAAGTGTATGGGGACAAACATTATCACTGAAGGTGGAGTGCGTCAGTGGGTCATAAGATTTCAA